TGGCACCTGGAGAACAGCAGGAGAGGGTGGGTCCGGGGGGCTGGCTCTTCCCCACTCCGGGGGAGAAAAGCACTCCCGCCCTGGGGGGCAGATGCCAGGAGACCCCCACTTCCTCCCCAAGATGCCAGCTGGAAACACTAAACCCGCGTCTGTTTGTTATCAAGCCCGGTGTAAGTACCTGGGGGCGACCAGTGTGCATCTCTCTCACGCTGACGGGGCCCACGGGCCACCCACCCTGGGTAAAACAGCCACCGCCGAGCGGGGACTGGTTTGGGGGCCTGGCCCCACTGGGGCTCTGCTCCCGGCTGTTGTAGCTGGCTCTGCGTCCGTGTTGCTCTGCAGGGGGCTGAGCAGAGGGCAGGTAGACGTGACGGGCCAAGGGTGACACCCCACAGGGAGCCCTGCAATACGACCCCTGGCACTCCCGCCTCCTCCCTTAATTACTTCCCTGGAATCAGGGGGCCAGCCGTCCTGGCCCACCCCCGGGCGCCAGCCTTGCCCCAGGGCTGCCCGCGGTGCGGGGCCAGGGACCAGGCCTTGCGTGGTGAGGGCGGAGAACCCCCAGGGCAGCAAGCAGAGTGCCCCTCACCAGGGCCTCTGGCCTGCTCGCCCACACCCGCCATGGCCTGCCCACTGGATGTGCCCCTCACCAGGGCCTCTGGCCTGCTCGCCCACACCCGCCATGGCCTGCCCACTGGATGTGCCCCTCACCAGGGCCTCTGGCCTGCTCGCCCACACCCGCCATGGCCTGCCCACTGGATGTGCCCCTCACCAGGGCCTCTGGCCTGCTCGCCCACACCCGCCATGGCCTGCCCACTGGATGTGCCCCTCACCAGGGCCTCTGGCCTGCTCGCCCACACCCGCCATGGCCTGCCCACTGGATGTGCCCCTCACCAGGGCCTCTGGCCTGCTCGCCCACACCCGCCATGGCCTGCCCACTGGATGTGCCCCTCACCAGGGCCTCTGGCCTGCTCGCCCACACCCGCCATGGCCTGCCCACTGGATGTGCCCCTCACCAGGGCCTCTGGCCTGCTCGCCCACACCCGCCATGGCCTGCCCACTGGATGTGCCCCTCACCAGGGCCTCTGGCCTGCTCGCCCACACCCGCCATGGCCTGCCCACTGGATGTGCCCCTCACCAGGGCCTCTGGCCTGCTCGCCCACACCCGCCATGGCCTGCCCACTGGATGTGCCCCTCACCAGGGCCTCTGGCCTGCTCGCCCACACCCGCCATGGCCTGCCCACTGGATGTGCCCCTCACCAGGGCCTCTGGCCTGCTCGCCCACACCCGCCATGGCCTGCCCACTGGATGTGCCCCTCACCAGGGCCTCTGGCCTGCTCGCCCACACCCGCCATGGCCTGCCCACTGGATGTGCCCCTCACCAGGGCCTCTGGCCTGCTCGCCCACACCCGCCATGGCCTGCCCACTGGATGTGCCCCTCACCAGGGCCTCTGGCCTGCTTGCCCACGCCTGCCATGGCCTGGGCACTGGATGTGCCCCTCACCAGGGCCTCTGGCCTGCTTGCCCACGCCTGCCATGGCCTGGGCACTGGATGTGGCCCTCACCAGGGCCTCTGGGCTGCACTCGCCCCAGTCCCTGGCCAGCCCCCTGATCCCAGCCCCCTTCCTGCCATTTGTGTTCCCGTGCCCACTGCGACCTGCGCAGGGCTGGGCCTCGCCAGAAAACCACGGGCACTTGCCAGGCCACCACACTGGGCTGTCCTGAGTGTTTGTGTCGATGTCCGTTTCCTGCTGTTCCCGTGCCCACTGCGACCTGCGCAGGGCTGGGCCTCGCCAGAAAACCACGGGCACTTGCCAGGCCACCACACTGGGCTGTCCTGAGTGCCCACGGCCCACCCCGCCCCTGGCCTCTGCTGGCACTGCCCACAAGCCGCCGGCTGGTGCCCACGCGGGCCC